TCCCTCATCCCCAATGCCATGTCAACGCCTGATCCCTCATCCCCAATGCCATGTCAACGCCTGATCCCTCATCCCCAATGCCATGTCAACGCCTGATCCCTCATCCCCAATGCCAAGTCAACGCCTGATCCCTCATCCCCAATGCCATGTCAACGCCTGATCCCTCATCCCCAATGCCATGTCAATGCCTGATCCCTCATCCCCAATGCCATGTCAAAGCCTGATCCCTCATCCCCAATGCCATGTCAATGCCTGATCCCTCATCCCCAATGCCATGTCAACTGATCCCTCATCCCAATGCCATGTCAATGCCTGATCCCTCATCCCAATGCCAACGCCTGATCCCTCATCCCCAATGCCATGTCCCTGATCCCTCATCCCCAATGCCATGTCAACGCCTGATCCCTCATCCCCAATTGCCATGTCAACGCCTGATCCCTCATCCCCAATGCCATGTCAACGCCTGATCCCTCATCCCCAATGCCATGTCAACGCCTGATCCTCATCCCCAATGCCATGTCAACTCCTGATCCCTCATCCCCAATGCCAAGTCAATGCCTGTCCCTATCCCCCAATGCCTGATCCCTCATCCCCAATGCCATGTCACGCTGCTCGGTGGTTTGGCGCAAAATCGACGCTTTGTCAAATTCTACTACCAGATTACTAAACAAGATGACCATATGTCGTGAAAGCCTGTCTGCAGGGTATGAGATGTGGATCTGTATTAATCTAGTATCTAAAGTTGCATCTACTCAGAATATTTATAAGTGAATTCTCATTTCTGTGTATATACGATTATCTATGATTGTTACACGTCTCAAGCAACATCAAGGCGATTTCTGTTGAGTCTGCGAGTCTTATATATATAATATATATATATATATATATATATATATATATATAATATATATATATATATATATATATATATATATATATATATATATTTCTGGGGGACTGGAAACAGAACGACGTGAAAGAAAGTCTGGGGAAGGCCTATGTCCATCAGCGGATTTAAAAGAGGAGGCTGAAAGAATAGAATAGAATTATTGTTGTTGTTGTTCTTATCATCATTATCATTACTATAAACAATATCATTATTGATAGTTGTAGTAGTTGTTGTTGTAGTAGTAGTAGAAGTAGTACTTGTGGTATCATTTTTATTATAATCATTATTATCAATATCATTACCATCATTATAATTTTTATTATCATTATCATTATTATTATCATTATCATTATTATTATCATTATTATTAGTATTATTATCATTATTATCCTTATCATCATTATTATCGTTATTATTATTACAAGTATCATTATCGTTATCATTAGCATTATTATTAGTAGTAGTAGACGAATAATCGTGTAGTATTATTTTCATTGTTATATCATATTTTATTATGTCATCATTAGTATCAGTATTATCTATTATTATTATTTCATTATACATTATTAGTATCAGTATTATCTTTATTATTATTATCATTACCACTATCGTCATCATTATTACTATTACTGTTATCATCATTATTGTTAGCATTATTACTATCATATTTTTTATCATTATCATTATCAATATTATTATCATTATCATTGTTCATCTTGTTTTCAATATCATTGCCATTATCACTATCATTATCGTTTTGATAATTACTATGATAATTATTATCAACATTATTATTTTTATTGTTGTCGCTGCTGTTGTTTTATTACCATTACCATTATTGTCATTACTTTTATCATTATTATCATTATCAATATTATCATTATCATTAGTTAACATAAGCATCATTGTTATTATCATTATTATTATTATTATTGTTATCATCATTATTGTTATCTTTATAATTTTCATCATTATTATTACTATTATTATAATAGTTTTGATACAATGTACAGTTGATGATTATCATTATCATCACATTTTTCATTATCATCATCATCATTTTTAATACAATTACGTTCATAATTACCATCCTTATTAAGATCATTATTACTATCACAACAACCATTATTGATTTTTAAAAATATTATATTTTCTAAACGCCCTCAGACACATTCCTACTAAGACGTTTTAGAAATATTTGAAACATTCATTTTTTATTTATCATAATTCTCCACTTTCTCATTGTTGGTCCAAGCCCCTCTCCCTCTGCCACCCTCTCTCAAGGACAAGTAATCACAATATAAATCGCTGTGCAGACTCTCTTTTCAAAGGAGAAAAGGGCACACTTGGCAACTTAGGCGAGAGCTGTGAGAATATGCCAACAACCACCAGAAATTTATTGCGGATTGATTTTTGGGAGCGTTTTTATGGTAAATATTTGAGTATTATAAATTGACTGGATAGTCATAGATGCACAAATCGAAGGATGGAAATAATTTTATATATATCTAAGTTGTAAAGGTTTTCGCGCTGAGACCCAAACACAATTAGAGTACGTTTGCAGCCATTTTGTTGAAATGTTTGACTTTTTTCGTAGTTTTCACTTTTCTTCGCCCTAAAGGTGGAACGGTTCCTTTAAAGAAATGAAAATACAAGCAACTGAAGTGAACGGAAATTAAAGAAATATTAAGTTGCATTCGTGTCATACATTTGCTCTATGGTTGCGGAAGAGGGGTAAGGAGTAATTAAATGAATGATTGAAAAATAAAGACTCCGGTAACGATAACAAAGAGCAGAAAAAAATATATGATTAGGAATAAAACAACGAAAGCTGAGATGAGAATTTACAATAGTTACCTCTCTCATATATTTCCATAGAAAACTTGGTTTATAGGGAAACTAAAGATTTTTTTGTCTCTAATCAGTTGATAAAAAATTATCACCAAACTACTCCACAAAGTCCTTATTCCTATGACTTGTTTATTACCAACTGTTTTAGTGCTCTAGTATTTCTGGAATCATATAATCACAAATGTAGAAATACTAGGAAAGAGATAAAAGTCACATATATTGGGTATATGCCGAAAAGGAAGGACTGATGCTGGGAAGAGACCGTCGCTCTATACAGTAATAATCTTGAATAGAAAGCGAGCAAGGGAATGCATTGCGATCTTACAACAATAGTCTTGTGGTTGGCAGGTATCCCCCGAAACACATCGTGTAGTGATTCCTACAACCGATTCACTTTGGCATGTCCGTTTGGAATTGGATAGAGATAAAAAACTGATTTGCGAAAAACTGTGTATTTATGAAACTTATCCTTAAAGTTAATAGGTAAATAAGTACCGTAAGCACCGTATGTATCCGTCATATCATCAGACTATAATCTGATAATATGACGGATACTCGCTTGTATGATTTTGTTATATGGTCACTGACCGTAATAAGATCAAAACTCAAATGCCTCGTTAGAGAAGCCACAGAAAGAAGACGAATGAAGAAAGGTAAAGGAAGGTAACTATAAAGCCAGAATTGTATAAGGATGATTACATTCCACCTTCAAGACGTCTATAGTCCAGGGATTTTGCTGAATGTAACAGTAGTCATTTCACCTCTGAAATGGACACCGAGTTCCTTGATCCTGAGCCTGAAGACGTCAGCGTATATCCCACTCTAAATTACTTAAATGAAAGAAGTCGGAGTCATGTAGGATCCGACTATGTTTACTCAGGGATCCGCAGAACTGTCATTTTCCATCTGATCAAAGCTCGTCTCTGTTAAGTCCTGGCGAATCTAATCGTATCCCATGCCCCCCCCCCCCAATCTCTCCTGAACCTCTTTCGTTACAATTCAGTCTGGGTTCTTATTGAAATGACAAGAAAATTTAATAGTCAGCTGTCCACAATAGCAATGATAAATGAGATAAATCGACCCTGACTGTAGCTAAGCCTAGGGATCCCCGTCTCATGAAAATAATTAAAGTGTGTGAAATTATATCGTATCTGTGTTGTGTGTGTGTGTGTGTATGCGTGTGTGTGTGTGTGTGTGTGTATGTGTGTGTGTGTTTGTATGTATGTTTGTGTGTGCGTCTACAAATAGATCATTATACCTTTCTATTATTCCGATTTACATAGTAAGAGGGTATAAAGGGTCCTTGTGGATTTCCATCTGTTTTTTATTGTCTGAGAACACTCACCATACACAGTTGCGCGCAGGGGTTTAGTACCCCTTCAGAAATCCAAAGAAATCTCGCAGCACTAGAAAGTTGTAGCTATGAAAAAGTAAGTAGAAAAATATTTCGCTAGAGATGACAACAAAAGGTACTCTCTCTTGCAACATTATTACAAATAACATTTTTTTGATTAATCTACAACATGATTGTTATACATTCCGAACACATAGTTTGCACAGCAAGGGGGGGGGGGGGGTATTTATTTATATATATTTTTTCTTTTTCTCTACAGGTAAACATTGTGGCGATGACGTTCACGATTGCTAGAGAAATCTCCTTTTCTCAATTTATGAAAATGTGAGGCATATATCTTTTTTACTCATTAATTTGCGACACATTGTTATACCCTAAGATATACATATATATAAGAAAAAGAACATACAATATTTTTTTCGTTACATTTTTTAAAGTTTTCGTTTCCCGTTTCCTTTTACACAAATCGTTTTCTTTTTTCACAAATTGAAAGCCTTATAGTTTATGTTTTCTATGGAAGATTTTCTCGTACGGAGAGATTCACAAATCTCTCTTTTCTATTACATGTTTTACCCCCTCTTGTGCAGTATTACTTTAGTGTCGCAAGTTAAATGTCCGTTAAAACGTCAATATTACTAGCAAACCACACGAACGAAGAGAGAGAAAATAAACAATAAACCAATGGAGCTTCAACATTAACAGCTGAGTTTTTTCATGTCCTTTTTATTATTTCTGATGATCACTCCATCCTTTTTTAAACACCTGTTTTATCGAATCAGTTATAAATTCTAGATATCTACATCAATCCCCCCAAATTTGCAAAGGTTATTTTAAAAAATACTGTTCTCTGAATATACAAGTATTCCGTGTTATTGTCACGCGTATAAAATCCTTGACAAAGCGGTA